GCATTCTTTGCGAAAGATTACATTGCAAATCATCCAGAGGATGGAGAGAAAATTACTCGTCTTAGGGAACTGATGTTTGAACAGGTACAAAAACAATAATTATTTGTGTTAGTGATGTGACGCTCATATTTTTTTTGTCTGTTCATTTATTTAAAAATATGTTAAAAATTCTGTTCATACAATGACTTTAATACATCTGATGACGAGTCTCTAAAATATAATGATATTTATGTATTAACAATTCATTATATTTGTTAAAAATAACTTTTACTTAAAAAAAAATATATAGTTAAAAACTTTAAATATTTTGAAAATAATAAGAAAATGATATTACTTTTTTCTTGATGGTTGCAAAACATGTTACTTTTAAAGATAATAAATGTAAACTAAAAAAAAAAAGCCAACATTCACACAGAATATACATTTCTAAGATACTTTCTTTTGACTATTGTTTATATAAATATTTAGTTTGTTTTTAAGAATAATAAAAAAAATTCTCTGACTTCTTGCAGGCCCATATTCTGAATACATCTGATGACGAGTCTCTAAAATATAATGATATTTATGTATTAACAATTCATTATATTTGTTAAAAATAACTTTTACTTAAAAAAAAATATATAGTTAAAAACTTTAAATATTTTGAAAATAATAAGAAAATGATATTACTTTTTTCTTGATGGTTGCAAAACATGTTACTTTTAAAGATAATAAATGTAAACTAAAAAAAAAAAAGCCAACATTCACACAGAATATACATTTCTAAGATACTTTCTTTTGTCTATTGTTTATATAAATATTTAGTTTGTTTTTAAGAATAATAAAAAAAATTCTCTGACTTCTTGCAGGCCCATATTCTGGAATTTGGTTTAGCTGTGCACGAGAAGTTCGTCCCACAGGATATGAGGCCGTTACATAAAAAGCTTGTCGACCAGTTTCACGTAATGCGCTCCAGTCTGGGGATTCAAGTATGTGTACTTTTACACATATAGATACATATTCACAGGTCTTAAAGTGGAAGTGTGTAAATTTTTTGATGTTAAAATGCATATCCCATCTTGATATGTAACCATAAGTGCCGGTCACACCAAGGGCGCTAACAATAACTATAAAGTTTTAATTAGTCCACACCACATCTATAATGATAATGGCACAGAGGAATAATGTTGGAATCACTTTCAGAACAATTTTTTCCAGCTGTTGAATGATAAAAACATTGACAGCCAATCAGAAATCCCGACCATTCGATCATAGCAACATTGGCTCAATCAGTGGCAAGAGTTTGGGGCGGGGCTATCAAGTTTTTCTGACCAATAGCAGATGAATGTTTGAGAAACCTGTTTGATAAGTTATTTTTGTTTAGTGTCACTAAAGGTGTTGAAAATGACATGTGTGACCTTTAAAAAACTGTGTTCATTTTAACAAAGGATTTGATGAACCACTTCCTATAACAGTTGATATGTTTTTGTTTAGCCACAAGAGTTTCCCGCTTATGTGCGAGTTAGTCCTCTGCATTTTGCGAATGGCAGCCCGCGCACATGCAGGACCCCCGTACCTAATGCCATCAGCCCAGATGGAGGCCGAATCGTGGCGAGACGCAGGTTTGTGTTAAACGCCATGTTAAAAATGTTTCTTGTGTGCATTTTTGAAATATAAGCTGAAATGCTTTAAGGTCAGAGATAAAAGGGTTTTGTAGTTTGAGAAGTTGAACTCAATTGAGATCTCAGCCAAGTAGATGCTATTTAGCAATGCTTATGTTTTGGATCAGGTTTGACAGATTGGCAGCTTGAATGCACCCACACGTTTGCTAAATTTATCCTCTGTTTTTCTCTTGTGTCTTTCAATTCTCTTTCAGTCCTCTCAGCTATCCGGCTGTCAACAGATATTCCTCATCCTCACTGTCATCACAGGCCTCAAACGAAGTGAGCAACATCACCGGCCAATCAGAGAGCTCGGATGAGGTCTTTAACATGCAAGTGAGAAATTCTAAGATACTCTCAGTATTAGGGAACTAAAACGTTACTAAAAGGTAACGCAACTACCTTTCAGAGTCATACAACCATTCACTTTAATTAATTAATTATTTAGGATGAATTTGTCTGTTCAATGCTGTTAGCTGTCACTGTCATGTTGCAAAAAAGTGCAAAACCCATTCTTTTGTGCCAGAAAATGCAGCGCTGAATAAATAATATCATTGGTGACATCCAACAGTTTAAAAAATATATATAATTATTTTGATACAGTTGTAATTATGTAATTATATATATATATATATATATATATATTACAT